AGCACTGTGCACCTTTCTTTCTGGTGATTTTAGGATGCTTTCTGAAATGGGTGAGTTTGTGCGCGGGCCCTTTAAGAGCCAGTTTTAGTTTCTTTGTGAACCGGGTTTTCTGGGGGTGCTACCCAATGCTTTAGTAGCAGGCACACTCAGATATTATGCCGCTGGTGTCGATTGTGCTGGGTCACAAAATGCCCACAGCGGGGGCACTCCCCGGCTCAGGGCCCCGCGCCTCCAGGGAGGCTGCGTACCTGTGGGCTGCTCCCGGCGGCCGTGAAGCTGGCGGCTTGTGAAGGCGGCGTTTTTCCTCTCCAGAAGGGAGTCTCTGCCTCTTCCACCTCAGTTAGGATTGTCCGTTGTTGCAGGAGTTCCTCTCATGCAGTTTTCAGTTCTGTCTTAGGGGTCATTTTTCCACGAGTAGTTGTAAATTGGCTGTGTCCACGGGAGGAGGTGAGCTCAGAGTCTGCCTACGCCACCATCTTGACTCCACCTCTGAGATACATCTAACTTTAAGAAAATCTTATAAAGATCTGCAAAGGTCCAAGAAGAATTGTGTCACTAATTAGAATATGTTCTGTAAACTTTGCAAATGCATCCTTTGTGCCATTCCTTTGGCCTGGAATGCCCTTCCCTTGAATGGGTGAAACTCTTAACATTTGTAATTCATTTGACGATCTGTCTCTGCTTCTCTCACAGCATGCCGTACAGAATTCAGTGCAATTTCTGTGTTCCCAAAAAACACTGAGCTTTTTTTAATCAGAAACATAGCAGCTCAAATCTGACTTTCTCTTCATTTCCATTCTTCATGGTTGGTGCATAGTTCCCCCTGAAATCTCATTTTCTTAGTTATATGAAAAAGGAGGTTCATTAGGGAGTTACCAAAGTTTCTAAGCAGATTTGGAAGTTTTAGGGTCGGAAATTATGATTGCCATCTTTAGACTGAGAGAGAGGTTAAGATATAATATGATCTTTAGTTTAAGATCACACTGACTATAGAAGCAATGAATCCAATGGGGATTAATTAATTAACTCATGCATGCACTCATGCCATCAACCAATCAGCATTCATTGAGCACCTACACCTCCAGGCATGGCATTAAGCAGAATGAAAAGTTATTATAATCATTTAAAAATTATCTCAACACATGACATAAGAAGGAAGAATTGCCTGCCATTGAAGAATTTGAGAATTTTGGTCAGAATTCTCACAGAAAATCTGAGATTCCTGAATAGAGATGAGACGTCTACAATAAAAACATAAAAACAATATTTTAATTGTTTGCTGAAGATGAAAGAGAAGATTACTCTTCCAGACTTCCAATAGTTTTGCTCACTGGCAGGATTTTTACCAAAAGTCTTGCAAGTCAGGGTCAATACTTGCCCATAAAAAGAAAGAAACTGAAATTGTGACTTTTAATTTTCACTTATTCCAATCTGAGATGTTTGGCTAAAGTTGAATCATATTAAAAACTATTTAGTTGTTTTTATGTTTTTTTTTTTTAAGACAGACTATGGAATCTTACTGAAATTTAATCAGTTGTATCTAAGACAATGGGGAATCCAACTTGCTGATTTCACCCTTCATATTTAAGACTATAATTCCTTTTCCTCCCTAACTTTGTACAGTTACTTATTAAAAATTTGAATTTTTCAAAATTAACTGACAAGATTTATAAAACTAATTATAAGTTCTTCTCTTGATAAAACATGAGCATAAGTATTACCACAAATTCGCTGAACTTAAAAGCTTCTGAAAGTACACCCTTTTTTGCCTACCTTTTTACACTGCATAATTATTTTGAGATTCATCTTTGTGTGTGTATCATATATAGCATATAATTAATTTACATAAAACATTAGTAAAATAGAAAACAAAAAGCTAATCAGAGGGTGCCTGAGAGGCCGAGAAGCCACTACAAAGTAAGAGCATGAGGAACTTTGGGAGTGATGGAGACATCCCTTATCTTGATGGTGCTGATGGTTTCATAGGTATATACATATGCCAACACTTATCCAATTGTATAATTTAAATATATGATTTTTATCGTATGCTAATTATAGCTCAAAAAGAGCCATTAAAACATTGTTTAAAACTCATAAAAATAAGCTTTTCACATTCTTTTTTTAGAGAAGTCACTCCAATACTTCTTACAATTCAAATCCAATAAATTTATTAATTGCTGTCATGTTTTCAGAAATTTTACCTCCCGGAGTATATAGAAACAAGAAAACAAAAGATTCAAAACTTTCACTACACCATACATGAGCAAGCACACATCCACAAGACAAAATCTCGCCCCAATTTACGGTTCATTTTTAAGAACTAATAAAGCTGAAAAATAATTACTTACACTCACCAAAAAGGCATAATAATCCTCAAAATCTTAAGTTTATCACTATGTGGTCAAGTTCTAGTCCTTGTAGTATTTGGGGCCACCTGGCTCCGTTCAAATCCTTTTTATGAAAGCAGTGTCGAAATCAAAACTGAAAGAGACCGTGGTTAACTTGAAATAGGCATCAGAACATTCCCCTCCGAGAATATCCAGCTTTTATTAAACATCAGTTCTCTCACTGACACTATCAAAATTAATCACTAAGTATCTTAGTTAATCAATAACTAGCTTATAATGCCTTAATTCCAAATAAATAAAGTCTTGGAGTATTTTGCCATGCATTGGTATTACCATTAAAGTAGATTTATTTATAGATTAATATAAAATTTAAAATATATTTAAATACAGGCATACCTCAGAGATATTGTGGTTTAGTTCCAGACCACCTCAATAAAGTGAATATTACAATAAAACAAGTCACACAAATTTTTTGGTTTCCAGTGCATATAAAAGTTATGTTTATACTATACTTTAGTCTATTAAGTGTGCAATGGCATTATATCTAAAAAAACAATGTACATACCTTAATTAAGAAATACTTTATTGCTAAAAAATGCTAACCATCATCTGAGCTTTCAGAGAGTCATAATTTTTTGCTAGTGGAGGGTCTTGCCTTGATGTTGATGGCTGCTGACTGATCAGGGGGATGGTTGCTGAAGGTTGAGGAGGCTCTGGCAATTTCTTCAAATAAGACAACAATGAAGTTTGCCGCATCGATTGATTCTTCCTTTCGTGAACGATTTCTCTGTAGCGTGCAATGCTGTTTGATAGCATTTTATCCACAGTAGAACTTCTTTTAAAATTGGACTCAATCCTCTCAAACCCTGCTGCTGCTTTACCAACTAAGTTTATGTAATATTCTAAAGCCTTTGTTGTCATTTCAACAGTCTTCATAGCATCTTCACCAGGAGTAGATTCCATCTCAAGAAATCATTCTTTTTTTTGCTCATCCATAAGAAGCAACGCCTTGTCCTTTGAAGTTTTATCATGAGATTGTAGCAATTCAGTCACATCTTCAGGCTCCACTTCCAATTCTAGTTCTCGCTATTTCCACCACATCTGCGGTTACTTCCTCCACTGAACTCTTGAACCCCTCCAAGTCATCCATGACGGCTGGAATCATCTTCTTCCAAACTCCTGTTAATGTTGATATTTTAATCTCTTCTCGTGAATCACAAATGACCTCAATTGCATCTAGAATGGTGAATCTTTTCCAGAAGGTTTCCAATTTACTGTGCCCGGATCCATCAGAGGAATCACTATCTATGGCAGCTGTAGCCTTGTGAAATGTATTTCTCAAATCATGAGACTTGAAAGTCAAAGTTACTCCTTGATCCATGGGCTGCAGAATGGCTATTGTGTCAGCAGTCAAGAAAACAAGATTAATCTCCTTCTACATCTCCATCAGAGCTCTTGGGGGACCAGGTGCATTGTCAATGGGCAGCCATATTTTGAAAGGAATCTTTTTTTCCTGAGCAGTAGGTCTTAATAGTGGGCTTAAAATATTCGGTAAATCATGTTGTAAACAGATATGTTGTCATCCAGGCTTTGTTGTTCCATTTACAGAGCACAGGCAGAGTAGATTTAGCATAATGTTTAAGAACCCTAGGATTTTCAGAAAGGTAAATGAGCATTGGCCCCAATTTAAAGTCACCTGCTGCAATAGCCCCTAACAAGTGATTCAGCCTGTCTTTTGAAGCTTTGAAGCCAGGCATTGACTTCTCCCTCGCTATGAAAATCCTAGGTGGCATCTTCTTCCAATAGAAGGCTGTTTCATCTACATTGAGAATCTGTTGTTTAGTGTAGCCACCTTCACCAATGATCTCAGCTAGATCTGGATAACTTGCTGCAGCCTCTCCATCAGCACTTGCTGCTTCACCTCGCACTTTTATGTTATGGAGATGGCTTCTCTCCCTCAACCTCATGAATCAACCTCTGCTAGCTTCAGACTTCTCTTCTGCAGCTTCCTCATTTCTTTCAACCTTCACAGATTTCGAAGAGAGTTAGGGCCTTGCTCTGGATTAGGCTTTGGATTAAGGGAATGTTGTGGCTAGTTTGATCTTCTATCCAGACCACTAAGACTTTCTCCATGTCAGTAATAAGGCTGCTCACTTTCTTATCATCCATGTGTTAATTGGAGTAGCACTTTTAATTTTCTTCCTTTGCAAAGAACTTTTCCTTTACAGTCACACTTGACTAACTATTCAGTACAAGAGGCTTAGCTTCTAGCCCATCTCGGCTTTTAACATGCCTTGTTCACTCAGCTTAATCATTTCTAGCTTTTGATTTAAAGTGAGAGACGTGCAACTCTTCCTTTCACTTGAACACTTAGAGGTCATTGTAGGGTTATTAATTGGCCTAATTTCAATATTGTTGTGTCTCAGGGAATAGGGAGGCCCAAGGAGAGGGAGAGAGATGGGGGAATGGCAGGTCAGTGGATCAGTCAGAACACACACAACATTTATCAATTAAGTTCACTGTCCCATATGGGTTCTGTCCAAGCAGCCCCAAAACAGTTACAATAGTAACACCAAAGATCACGGATCACCATAACAAATATAATATTAAAGAAAAAATTTGAAATGTTGTGAGAATTACCAAAATGTGACAGAGAGACTTGCTTGATGCAGGGTTGCCACAAAACTTCAATTTGTAAAAAAGGCAATATCCGCAAAGTGCATTAAAACAAGACATGCCTGCATAAATTTAAATGTATTTAACTATACACAAATAAATACATTAAATATATAAATATAACATGATTTGTGTATATATATATATATATATATAGCAAAGTTTCGTAATACTAATATATTTTATTTAAAATTGTGTGCAGTCTTTTTTTTGTGTGTGAGGAAGAGCAGCCCTGAGGTAACATCCGTGCTAATCCTCCTCTTTTTGCTGAGGAAGACCAGCTCTGAACTAACATCTATTGCCAATCCTCCTCCTTTTTTCCCCCAAAGCCCCAGTAGATAGTTGTATGTCATAGTTGCACATCCTTCTAGTTGCTGTATGTGGGACGCAGTCTCAGCATGGCCGGAGAAGCGGTGCATCAGTGCGTGCCCTGGATCCGAATCTGGGCCGCCAGTAGCGGAGTGCGTGCGCTTAACCGCTAAGCCATGGGGCCGGCCCAGAATTGTGTGCAGTCTTAACGCATGCATTTTTGGTTAGTGCATGTCTGGTCAATAGAAATTTTTTGATTCTTTTTATGAAATTCCCCTCATGCCCTTGGTGCAGCCCACCTTAACAGTCTCATCTCAGGCCTCTCCCTCACAGAACCTTGCTTCAGTCATATTATGCTGCTTGCTGTTTCACAAATGCACTATAGGCTTTTCCACTTCTATCCCTTTTCCTGTGCTGTCTTCTGTCCCAAGCCACAAAGTACACCTGGAAAAAGCATTGTTTAAGTACCAGATTTAAATGTTGAATGAAATAATTTAAGTACAAAACAAAACAGTGTTCAGTGACTCTATATAAAGTAACTATGTAATAAATGGTAGTTAAGTACTACTTTTTACTTTTCCTTCTTGGCTTTTGAATAGCAATAGAGCTATCATAATATATTTGGCATTCATTTTAGTTATCTTTGTGTTGTATTTAACTACCCTATTAGACTCTATCCTTGTAAAGCGCAGGGACAGACTGCGTCTTATTCACCTGTATCCTTGAGAGTTGACAGCATCATGCATGATACTAAGCAGTTAACACATATTAGCTGGATTGAAATGACTTGAAATTTATGCAAGGGTTTGGAGATATTCAGTGATTCCTAGGGTATATCATCTTGGTGGAATATTAGATATCAAATCATCCCCTCTAGTTTTTCTTTTTTGTTATAAGCAGGTAACTGACCCAAGAAGAAGAGTATAAGCAACCTGAGATGCATTTGCACACTTCTTCTTAGGGAAGAACTGGCATCACTTACAGTCTGGCTCCATCAAGCCCAAGTTTTCCTGGGTCAAGAGTGGAAGTTAATTTCCAATTGTTCATACTTTAGACAGTGGCTTAGGTACACTGCATTGTGATGTCAAGTTTTAATTCAAGCTCAAGTAAAACAAAATTAGAGTTTGAATTTCAAAAAGATCAATAAGACTATAAAATATTGAATCAATATAGGTAGATTTGGGGAAATGCGAGTAAACATTGTTGTAAGGATTTTCTGAATAGTTGCATTTCTCCAATTTTCTTCAAGGAAGCAATTATAACATAAATGTTTCTTTTTTGAAATTTCTGATGGTCTTTCAATATTTCAACATTCAATATTTATCCTCTATCTATCTATCTATCTATCTATCTATCTGTCTGTCTGTTTGTCTATCTGTCTATCTATCTATCTATCTAACCATCCATCTATCTAAAACCTGGTCTCCACTCTCATTAAATTTGCTATCCAGTGGAGGAAACAGACAAAAAAGTTAACTATCATATTAATAAAAGAGTAATAAATTACACTATGAGGAAAAAACCAAATAAGATCAAAGATAGAAAATAGGCAGGGACAACTTTAGAAATCATGGCTAGTGAAAGTTCTCTTTAAAGAGGTAATATTTAAATAAAGTTCTGAATGATAAAAGATAATTCACACAAAAGTCTGGAGAAGGGAATTCCAGACAGAGGCGAAGCATAGGTCCAGAACTAAGGATGGAAGGCCCTGAAACAACATTCCAGACTATTGTTTGCTTAGGGTGTGCTGTGAGACAGGCAGATATACTCAAGAAATTGCTATCTTTTCTTCAAGAACAAAGACCACATGGGATAGCCAACACTTCTTGAAGATTTCTATGGGTTAGGCACTGTTGGAAGTCCTTTATATATATCATTCTTAATCATCCCAACAACCCTATGAGGTTGTTATTACTCCTATATTATATATGAGGAAACTGAGTCACAATAAGGACAAATAAATTCCCAAAATCTCAAAGCCAGATTCAAATAAGTTTTCTGTCTCCAGAGTCCATACCATTATGCTATTCTGCCTCTTCTATGCTCTGGAGCTTTCATGAAGCTAGCATGGAAATATAATCAGCTTGCTTGGACAGTAATGGGATGGACCAGAAGATGATATGATGGGTTGGACCAAAAACCCATAAAGGCCTCTCTCTCCCACACAATCCCCTCGCCTCCACACCCCTCTCCAGGACTGAGGGTAAAAATAATTGGAGCATTAGGGTTAGTCCATTAGTCCAGTAGATATAAATCTAAAGAGAGATCTAAAGCCAGGATACCAATCAAAAGAGGAAAAGACATGTGTACACAGAAACTGTTAGTAAGGCATCTCACATTCTGGTGCCCAGTTCATTTATCTAGCAGTGGTGGCTTGAGCCAAAAAAGATAGACAATCAAACTTAAGGTTTAAAGTTTAATTGTATATGTGTCATTTCTCAGAATTTTTCCAATTGATAATAGCCACGTAGTCGCAAGATGACTAGAGTTCAGAGATGGAACTTTATTCAATGGGAGAATTAGAAAAACAAATTAGGAACCCAGTCAATGGAGATCTGAGGGCAAAAAAGGGAGATCTAGGAGAAAAGATGAGCTCAAATTCTAGAGAACTGGAATACGAAGGTCCTACACTGACTAGTAGTATTATGGACTTTAACCTTTTACCAACTTAAATTCCTTTACTGTCTTCTTGCTTAGATAGAAGGCCCCAGGCCTTCAGCATTAGTCTATGTGTTAACTGAACCAATCTGAGAGCCATGACAAAGACTGAAAAAGAAGTTGACATTATAAGGTAACAAAGCAGAGACTCTCCAATCCACAAATATATGTTGAGAACCACTGTGTGCCAAGGAATAGAATGC